CACATTCACACACACATACACATACATACATACATACATATACAAGACACCTAACTGAAAGGTGATGCATCCAAGCGAATCTAACCGTCTACTGAAGTTGTACATAAACACGAAAGTCAACCCGCCCGTTACTAAACAACCCATACCGTAACTAGAACGCACTACACAAACTGTACGCGCTTACTTACTCCCGAGCGCCTACCCTGGGTGTTGCCTACTCCAGCGGGGGGCCGACCCCACAATTGGCCTAATTCTATTTCGCAGCGGAGCTTCAAATCTCCCCTCTATGGCTGGTTTGCTCTCGTTTCCCTCGAGTCTGACACGCAGCGCGTGTACCCAAGCGTGACCGTATTTTTCTTCCTGTTTATTGCTGGCTTTATCTATAAACGGTTGTTAAAGTTACTTTTTTATATACAGAAATCTGTTTCATAAACTTCGTCATGAGTCGTAAAACATTAGAGCCCTTCTGAGCCGTTGGGTCAAGGACTCCGTGGAGGTCACGGGTACGTCTCAAAAGGAGTGGAGAAAAGTGGTCGTATGTTTGTAACTTTGTTCAGTGGCTTGTATCAGTCCCTTGTAAGTAACAAGGAATGCGTTTCAGTATCCGGAAACATTGATAAGAGAAGGTGGAGGATGTATTAAAGCAGTAAAATCTATCCTTATTATTATGGGCCTTGTGAAGACTTTCCACGCGTTCAGACGTACTGAGCAAGGCGGTGTTCAATATTGAAGACAGCTTTGTATTGGACATATAGGGATACTTATATTTCAAAGACCAATCGGCACTTGGCGATGTGCTCAATATTACGCTGGTTGTCTTTGCTGCTCAGTACTTTACTTGGTACTCAGTTAAAGCTAGTTCGACCTGTGAGCCGAGGTCATTTTTTTTAAGAAAAAAAATTTCAACTCCGTCTAGCCGCCAAATCACTGTGGCTCCCAATAGAACTGCTGTGTTTGGGACACACTCCCTCTCTATAACAGATGTCGAAGAGACAGAACTGTATACACGAAAGAACTGAATGGTAATAGACTACAAGGCAGATCAAGAAGACGGTGGAGAGTTGATACACAGGTAGAGCTACAAGAACTCACATTCACCAATTGGAAGAAGAAAGTCAATCACAGAACGAACGAACGAACAAACTTTATTTTCAAATGGTTACAAATTGGGCACGCAGGCCCGTCTGACATTCGGCCCTTCTAAGCACTCGTTTTTCAGAGTATCAAAACCTGTTATCTAAAATGCATGATACGGATATAATAAACAAAATATACATTATAGAATAATGCATACACACACATCATGTGTACACAATCTTACACACTCACACACCCACACATATATATATACACTCTCACATTCTCATACATGCACACTCATATATAGACATACCTAATACAAACATAGATACATACATACATAAACGCATCTACGTATTTACACAAACAGAAAAGACACACATACATATATGGACATATATGCACACACACATTCCACACATTCCACACATACACACTTACACATGCATGCAGTTACATGTACAGACACCCACAACCACACATTTACACTCACATGTAAACATACATACATACATACATACATACATACATACATACATACATACATACATACATACATACATACATACATACATACATACATACATACATACATACATACATACATACATACATACATACATACATACATACATACATACATACATACATACCTACCTACCTACCTACCTACCTACCTACCTACCTACCTACCTACCTACCTACCTACCTACCTACCTACCTACCTACCTACCTACCTACCTACCTACATACATACATACATACATACATACATACATACATACATACATACATACATACATGCATACATGCATGCATGCATGCATGCATGCATACATGCATACATGCATACATACATACATACATACATACATACATACATACATACATACATACATACATACATACATACATACATACATACATACATACATACATACATACATACATACATACATACATACATACATACATACATACATACATACATACATACATACATACATACATACGTACGTACATACATACACACATCAATACATACACACATCAATACATACACCTACAAATTTACACACGTACATGCATACTTGCATACATACCTAAATACACACATGTACACCCACATACTTATACATCTACAAATGCATACACACATCCACAAACATGCATACATACACACACCCACATACATGCCGACACACATTACATACATACCCACACATGCATGCATACACACAAATACAATCACCCATACAGATACTCACATACATACATAAGCTACATACATACATAGATGAATGGAGGCGGTCGTTGACTTGAGCAAATCACCTCAGGGGTTCGAAATGTCGAAAGAAGAAGGAGAAGAAAAAGAAGAAGAAGAAGAGGAAACAGAAAAAAGTCATACACCTAATTATTTATCTACGAGCTCAAGTTTTATATTTATCTAACATTTGTCTTCTATTGACAGGTATCGTGCGTTTTCTCTCACACAAAGAGAATATCGTCATCCTGAGCTATCTGGAGAACAAATATCTATGCATGAGCGAGGACTCCGCTCTTTACCTCATGGTGAGTCTTATTCCAAGTTTGAAAATCCTCACTTCGTGTGCAGATCCATCATTTATCTTATTCTTTTCTGTGTTCGGTTTTCGTATGTTCAGATCAGATCATCAGGTGGGTTGCCTCTATGAACTCACATGTCAGTAGCAAGTGCTTCATGGTTCCCCATAGCTTGCTCTGCACACTTTGCTCTTGAGGCCAGGCGTCTTTTCGAAGATGTATGTAGAGTGGGCAGGTCTGCAGAATGTGCCTGGTGTTTGCGGTCCTGTCTGACAGGCACATTGTGGGGACTGTATAATCTTTATGTAAATGTTATCTAAATTGTTATGCATGTTGTAGTTGAGCCTGTAGTGTCCTGTTCGAAGACAGAAAATTGTTTTTGTTGCTTTCTGATGAGTTGGCAGATGTAGTCTTGTGGATGTTTACTATTAGTTTGTTCTCTCCACAATTCCTTGTATTTTCCCTTCATAAGTGTTATGATTTCTGGTATTGACAAAGGATGGGTGTGTCGTTTCACCTTTATTCAATTTTAAGCCAATTTATCTGCTAACTCATTTCCTGGCATGCCGCAGTGAGCCAGGATCAGGTGGAGAACGATCTGATTGTTCTCTGCGAGTTAGTTTAGCTGGCGGGTCACTTCTCTCTCCATGTTGTCTCGTGGAACCCTCTGAGTCGCCTTGAGGACTGACATGTAATTACAAAGGAAAATAATTTTGTTGTTTTTTAATTTATCAAACAGACGATTTATATATATATATATATATATATATATATATATATATATATATATATATATATATATATATATATATATATATATATATATACATATATATATATATATATATAAGAGCAGGACGCTGCAGACCTAACACAAACACTCACAGAATGAAGGTTGTACAATCCCCCGATGTCAGTGCAAAACCGTGTCTCAGATACCTTGGCGTATACTACAGAACTGCCTCCTACAGGGGGGGGGGGGGGGGGGCAAGGTCTGAGAGAAGCATCTAGGACAAACTTAAGGGAACCCTTGGAGACTTGCTGCTGATTTGCCAGTTCATGAAGGCAACACAACTGACTGCCTGAGCATATGAAACCAAACTCAAAGCAGAAGAAACCGATCATTACCCGGACGGTAAACCGGCAGGGCAAATCCGCCAAGCAAGTTATGATAAATACGGGATCGTCAACTTCAGTCCCACGGTTGCAAAGTAATGAGTGGGTTGTGGTCCCTATATATAACGCACAACCATGGACGTAATTTGTGGACTATGAATATAAGTATGGACTATGTACATAATTTGTGAACTATGAATATAAGTATGGACTATGTACATAATTTGTGGACAATGAATATAAGTATGGACTATGTACATAATTTATGGGTGATGGACATAACTTGTGGACTGGACATAATTTGTAGGACAATAAACACAATATGGACAATTTAATAAATAGGGATTGAGGATATAACTTGTGTCTAGCCATTGCAACACCGCCATACATTTCACAAATGGGTATCACACATATAACCCATACGCACCACACACATACATACCCAACATACACAACACACACACACAAACATACACACACACTTACACAGAGAAGAAGAATAAATCAACATAGAACTGTTGTTATCAGTGGCAACACGCTGAGAGGTATTTGTCGATTAACTAACACATACATAGAACTGTTGTTATCAGTGGCCACACGCTAAGAGATATTTGTCGATTAACTAACACATACATAGAACTGTTGTTATCAGTGGCCACACGCTAAGAGATCTTTGTCGATTAACTAACACATACATAGAACTGTTGCTATCAGTGGCCACACGCTAAGAGATATTCGTCGATTAACTAACTAACACATACATAGAACCGCAAAACTGCGTCTGTTATATTGTTCGGTAAAATAGAGTCAAAGCGGTTAGTGCTGCAGGGTCAGGAGTTAAACCTACACATATTCTGCGTAAATAAACAGAGGGGGAACCCATGAGGTCGTATCAATTTTAAATATAATAAGCAAGCAAACAATGTATTGATTGGCACTAAAAGAAAGAAGTAGAAAGATAGAAGGACACACTAGACACCATATAAGAGGGAGACGAAAAAAATGTTTGAATGACAACATGAAGAAATAAAGAGTACTAAATTATTATGAACTTGTTCAACAAGCGGAAGATAAGAGGAAGATGGCGGGTTTTGTGTACTAGTGCCTTCATCGATACATCTGCACGACTATACGGGGTCAAGAGTTGTGTTAGTTTTTTTTTCTCCTTTTGTTGTCTTCTTCTATAATGATATTAAATGCATCTTTGTCAATAGCTTACAAATAAAATACTGTCATTTCAGGACACGGGAGACAATCCGGAGTGTTACATAGAGGAGTTATCCTTGCAAGACAACGGGTCCTATGCCACGGTGTACCGCTTCACTAAATACAGAAGGAACATGTTTTACCTTGGCATCAACTGCGACCCCATGCTGGGAAGACTGGCCGACCCCAACTCAAAGTCCTCCAGGTTCATCAGGGTTGTCGTCAGTGACGTAGAAGCTAGGTCTGCGAAAGATGCCGTTTCTAAATCTGGCTCAGACAGCAGTGTGAGGCCCAAATGTGTGAGTCCCGCTGACAAACGGCGAGCCGCCAAAGCTAAACGCCAAAAACTCAAATGGCGGTGGTGCTGGAATTTAGACAGAATGATCCAGAAGCGACATGCCTACATGGAGAGATGTAGGAAGCGAGAAAGAACTCGGACGTGTGATAACAGTCATGAGGACGAGGAGGGGACAAAGAAAAGATGTGTTTGTGATATTTTGAGATCAATGCTGCTCAAACCAAAGAGAGCCAGAAGAAAATGCCTGGTAGAAAAACTGTCAAAGTGGGTAGAAAATCAAAATGCGACCGCACATTCAAGTGCAGTTCTGGAGGCTAGCAGGTTGCTGGTGCGAAACTATCCAGCGATTGCAAGAAGAATGCGATTGCTAAAGGCTAGAAAGAACAAAAAGAGACAACATCACAGAGGTCTGCTAGATCAGAAAATTCCAAAAGACAATCAAGAAGCATCATTGAACCATACAGCCACAACAAGTACACAGTTAGTAAAGGCAGTCAGCTCAATTAGTCATGATCAGACCTCAAAGAGACGGCGAAGAAGACGAAGACGTAGAATAATTAAACTTAATTCAATTCTCGGACGTTACGGTGGTGAACTGTTTTTAGCTTCCACTAGTGATGACATCTCTGAACATTGGTCAACGACTGTGGAGACTAGTGATGAGTCACACAGTTCACCATCTCCGAAAGTGAAACCTCCTTCCGTGTTATCTGAAGACTTTAAACAAGCTTTGAACTCTTTATCTCCAGGACCGCCACGCAGGCATAGGGGAAGCCACAAGAGGAGAAAGCACAGACACAGGCATCATAAATCGGCGCCTCACAGCTCACAGATAATTCCACCCCCACCCATGGGAAATGCGAACTTGGCCAGTGTTGGTTTGTTCTCTCCGGGCTAAGAGACAATCCATTTTCAGAACAAGAGCTGACCGTCAGACTCGTTCTCCTGTAATCAGTCGCATTCAAGCATCGTAGTGCTTCTGACGTGGGACGCTTCTATATAAGCAGGTGCCGCCAAGGATATCGCCTTCTTCAGCAGTCGTTACCTTCAAGAACAAAATTAGCGCGCCCACAGGACATTTTGCGCTGGAATGATAATTCTGTAGCTTTTTTTTCACCCACTGATACCTCACATATACTCATTGCAAGTGGGTGGGAACTGGTCACGTTAAGAAATATTTAAATTATCATTGTGTTAGCTAGAATGGAAACATGTACTGATCAGAGTTAATGGACTTGGGCCAAGTGTTGAGTCACAGATTCCTAAATCAACTTTGGACTGAATGCCAACACAGAGCCACCCACCCTTATGTGACAAAAAATAACGTTGGTCCCATGTCGTAGTACAAAACTGTGACAAGGCCGGTGTTGGTATCTGTGGTAAGCAGCATCTAGTGCTTGCTATAGCTCCTTTCATGTGTACAGATTATTTATTTTCATCCAAGGAATTGCGAGATTTAGGAAACTCCTTATTCTCGCAATCGCAATGGGCCAGTAAATTAACTTGTTTGGGTTGACTATCCTATAATGGTACAAAAAGAGTAGCTTCATATGTCCCTGGAGTTCATTTACTGTATTATCCACCAGGAGTGCCAACAAAAAGATAACATCGTGGATCTCCTCAGCCACCGTACAATTTTCTAGGGGGTTTCAAGGGTCTTAAGGGGTCACTACATGGCATTTTTTCAAATTTATGACAAAAATATCACTTTTTCAATGTGTTCGTTTTTGTAAAGTTTGGCATTCGTAGAATAGATGACACACAAAGTTTATGTCATTTGTAAACAATTTAGCATTGAAAAGTTAATACTAAGGACACCACCTCGCTCACTTTTTTAAGATAAAAAAAAGTTTAAAAGTCAGTTTTCTCAAATCTCTATATTTCAGTTTGCTGTGTATGTGAAATCCTAAAATCTAAGCTAATATAAAGAGTAGAAACATGAAATTTGGTATACATACTTCGTAAACAATATTATAGGGACTGGTCTGTCTAAAAGTAGATTTTAGAAAGTTTCTGTTTTTAAAATTTAATTATTGTCTTATGATGCAAGATTTTTTTGACTTTTTCAATAAACCTACAATTTAAAATTCTACGAAAAATATTTAAAAACACGTTTAAAGTAAATAAACCAGACCTGTACCTCTAAATAGGATGACAGGTCATGAATCAATCATCTATTGTTAAATACCTATGTTTGTTTTTAAAATTTTAGGATTCTAAGTACACATTGCTTTTTTCACAAGATGGCGGCTATTGCCATGACAACTATGATTTTTTTAACACTTAAAGTATAAAAATGTAAAAACATGTATCCCTACAAATGACCATTATAAAATAACTGCTCTAACTCTGTAAATAAAAAAATAAAAATTTTTGGTGTAGTGACCCCTTAAGCCTTGTTTATGCAAGTAAAAGAACCTTTTCTAAGCGTTTGGGCGTGCTGAGCATATATGGGTAGACCTGTACTTTATAAACCAACTGGCGTTCGGTGGGTAATGTGGTCAACATCACGCCGGCTGCCCCCAATTCCCGGAAATTTACTGGGGCCCCATTTAACCCTGGATTGACCTGGGAGTCAAGGTCATGTTTGAAAAAAAGTCTGGTAGCGTCAAGACCTGAATCTTCGCATCTGCCCAGTGGCTCTCAACCTTCCGAATGCTGCGATCCTTGAATACAGTTCTTTCATGTTCTGGCGACCCTTGAATACAGTTCTCTCGTGTTCTGGCGACCCTTTAGTACAGTTCCCTCGTGTTGTGGCAACCCCCCAAAAATTATTTTCCCTTATACCATCAATGAATATATGGTTTCTGATGGTCTTAGGCGACCTCTGTGAAAGGGTCATTCGGCTAAAAAAAAGGGGGTGTCGTAACAGGCTAGTTGAGAGCCGCTGGTTTAGACCCACACCACTGCTGCTCCCGTTGTCTGTATGCCCAGTAATAGTTTTGTGCTGAGCGGCAAAACGGTATGTTTGAAATAAAATTAAATTTATAAACAAATACTTAGAAAAAACAACCTGTTAATACATGTACGGGCTGTTAGCCCCGTTTCTAATTTTCTAGAGGGGGCTGCGTGGTCTCGAGGCATGGTGTCCGCCTCGAGTGCTAGAGGTTCCGCGTTCAATACCCGGTAAGGGCTGGGATTTTTTCACGTGGACTTGGACTTCTAGTACTTCCCCCTGGTCTCTGAATAGTGAGAATGGACACCCGTGGGCATTGTTGCGCATGTAAAAAAAATCCCTTGGCAGATGCAAATCGAGAAGAGTAGCCTAAGGTCGCTGCCAGGGCAAGGTTTGGAGTTGAAAATTTACCTAAAGTATTTGTTGATCCTCGCCGGTGCAACAGAGCCTGTGCACTATGCTGAGCTTCTTCGGACTCAGACTTGAGTTAGATGAAGAACGGAGCACTTATGGGTTACTACCCGTGTGCCTTGATGTTGATCAGTTGTTCAGACCTCGTGCCTAATTCTCTATGAGACGGCTTTAGAGATGGGAATCAGTCCACCTAGTATTACATATTACCCTAAAACTTTTTATAGGCGCTTCAGATGCATGAAACTCACAGGTCCTGCCGCCATTGTTGTCGACTCAGTTCTGATTCTGTTCATGAGTGTTTGCTTGGCTGGCTGACTGACTAAATGTCTGACTGATTGGTCAGCTGACTACCTGATTAATTTACTCCTTGTACTCATACATAGAGCCAGGGGCTGTTGAGGTTGGTTCTGCAACGTCCTGTAAAGGATACGCAACTAACCTAACTCACACATAGTGCGGCGTCAGTGGTTTAGGCGTTGCGAGTCCCAACTGCTGGCTGCGTGGATTTTCATCATTTTATTGGGCGTCGCAGGTCGACCCAGCCTAAAATGGGGACCAGGATGTATGTCCTGGGGAAGTTAAGACGACCGGCGTAATGCTGACCACCTTACCAACTTAGTGCCGATTGGTCTGTAAAAATAAGGGTGCTCTTCCCAAATGCCCGATGCGCCTACGGCGTGAACAGGGATCTTTTACTCCTATATCGTCGGCGTTTGTGGCTTAGGCGTTGCCAACGTGCTTCGTAATGCCGGGGTACCGGGTTCGATCCTAGCTGCGGACGGTTTGTCTTGCGTTGGTTTCGACAGTGGTCCCAAGAGCTGACCGTTCAGAAAGCAGTAGCAAACTCCTGAACGTAAAATTTGCCTAGAAAAACCTCAGCAGCCAACAAATGCTGTGGTTGGTTTTGCAACGTCCTGTAAAGGCTACGCAACTAACGTTTTTAACTCAAACATAAGATACGCATCTTCATCTTACAAATCAGCTCATCATATAGTTCTCAAATATCTGCGTGCTGACGAACAAGTTTAATGCTGGGCTAGGCTACAATATAAAGATGTTTGCAAGCAGTACGTGTCATTCACCCCTGGACTTAAGGTGTCTTCCTTAACGTTGGGGAAGAGGTGGGGGGGGGGAGTGGGCGCTAAAATAACCTTAAGGTTGAACGGAGTTTCTGGGATTAGATCTGTGGCAATTCTCTTTGATCTGTGGCAATTCTCGTCCGAGTAATAATGCATTGCACTTGGCGTCACAGTGTGCAGTCCTAGTGAGTTCAATTTTACCCACTTAGGACATGAATGATACAGGTATTGAGATAGATTGAACCATTATATACTGGGTAGGGGAATCAGAAAGGAAATATAGACTAAGAATCCTGCTGTGGATTCCGGGGTCACATCATTGGTAAAACAAGTATAAACCCACTGCCTCCTTAACAAGCATGTCGTAGGAGCCATTCAAAGTCGGAGTACATCTGCGCGAGTTGCAAGGAATCAACAACTGCACACAAATAAGCCATTAAAATGGATGTACAAAGCGCAGGCCCTGGCACAAAGCTAAAGTCCAAGTGGACGAACAACCAGGTCTCTTCGTCGCAGCTGACAAATTGTAAGCACAGAAGAAGAAGTGCGTTACATACATATGATGGCTGCAGTGCTCTTGAAATCCCATCCTCTAATTTTAATTGTAAAAGCGCAGTTTTCTTAACGTGGGCGAGTGTTGGTGGTTACACTCGCCATCGCCATGGGTCCCGTGTCTTCCTAGGGCACAGTATAAAGCTATCGTCTGGACATATAGAGAGGTGGCTGATTAGGGAGTTGCTGATTGTGTGTGGTTGTGTGATATTACACAAAAGAGCTGACTGAGTGTAGGCCACGAGGCGGACCAAGAAGATCGCAGAGATAGCATGTACAGGCACAACTACAAACACGTGGAATCAAAAACTGGAAGGATAAGACCAGCTAGGGACGATCATCAATTACGGATAATACCAGCAGCAATGAATTTAAGGGCTAAGAATGAAGAAAAAGATGATAAAGAGGAAAAAACAAGAAAGGAAAAAAAGAAGAAGAAGAAGTGGAAGAAGAAGAATAAGTGGTGGAGGGAGAAGAAAAGACTAAAAGAAGACGAGAAGAAGA